TCGCTCTCTCTCTCTATGTATATATATATATATATATATATATATTTTGGGCGATAGATTTTTCAACCAAAAAGCGGTTGGTTAGGGCTACCCACAGACCCACTCAAACATAATCAATTACTAAATATCGCCACATCATATAAATAAACTTCTCAAATTTGTTGTACACTTTACTTGCCCAAAATTGGGCTCGCCCTTAGAGCGAGGCAGAATTACTCGGCCGAGTCCGAGTGATCTCGTCCGAGTCTTAGAACTCTGCATTGAAGTATGGGAATTGGTTTCTAAAAGTTGTGCCATTGATACATGGAGATTGCATAGGTGTGATCCTCGACACATTCTGGATTGCTGATTTTCCTACAGATTTGACAACTTTCAGAGCACCATCTTTTGGACATGGCTGCAAATATTCCTAGCGTAAGGTATATGTTTTGTTTTTTAGTCTAGTTTAGTTACTAGGATCTCCGAACCATGGGATGGATCACCTCGTGCTTCACGGAGGGGATCTAGCTCGTCTACAATTTTTTTAAATTTTGGGATTTTAACCTTTCCTATTTGGGGATCAAGATGTTGAGTTACATGTGATCCAAATTCCTTTGCATCATAGTAGGGTTCATAGGTAAATTAACTGAGTTTCCACCAATATGGGATCCAGATTCCTTTTGTGCTTGATTCTATTCTCCCTCTTGCGAACCAGAGCTTCAACTTAAGGCTAAGTAAAGAAGAAGTTGGGTCAAGCTCCTCAACATATTGGATCTCGAACTCTCGATCCCTAAATTTTGGGGTGTACAGATGTCATTCCGAACTTGAGGACCTTCTAATTGCGACTTGCTCAAGTATAGTCTAGTTTCTTTTTATAAAAAATTTAGAGCAAGCAAGTGTAAGTCCAAAAGATACATGGGCATTAATAAAAGAGTGTGGTTTGCATAAGGCTGAGGCCCTAAACAATCAAAGTGCGGTGTGCCTTTAAATAATGCCGAAATATATTGTTTCAGTATAAAAATTCTTTATGATGATGGCCTCAAATTTTTTTTTAACTCTAATTATAAAATTTAAAAATAAAAAAATAGTGTAATTATAAAATTTAAAGATAAAAAAATAGTGCAAATCAAGTAGATCTATGAGCACCTGAAAATATTAAAAATTGACGGTCTAGATACACATTACAAGATGCAGTATTTCAGAGACTATTTTTTTTCTTATGTTCATAGATCTTGAAGCCGAGATGATCGAATTGAGGGTTTTCCATCGTCAAAACCACCTCTTCTAGTGAATTTTTGAGTTGCACCTTAATTTGATTGTTTAGGCCCCACCTTAGCACCTTAATGTGATTGTTTAGGGCCCCACCCTTATATAACCTTTTACAAAGATGTTGTGTCTGCTTTGGAAAATTTTGGAAGTAACACCCTCTATCATCTAGATAGCTCCACGTCTGTAGCTAGTTGACCTTGTTGTTTCTTTTATTTGTTTACTCTAAAAACTTTTGTCTGCTAAGACTCTTGTGGTTGAGGTGCTTTGAAAGAAGATAAGTTAGATGGTTCAACTTGTCTCTAACGCAAGCTATTGAGCAACCCATATTGCATGAGGTTAGTTTCGATAATAATCTTATTGCTCCATGCCCCACCCATATTGCATGAGCTTAGTTTCGACAATACTCTTATTGCTTCATGCCCAACCCATTTGAAATCTTGAGACGGATTACGTTAAGAGTGTAAGAATCAGATAACAACACATGATCATTGCATAATGGCAAAGTCCTGCGTAATGGAGTATGCGATACCCCTAACTGCTCATAAAATCCATGGATAATGGAGTTTTTGTACACTGTGAATCACCCTAGGGTCCCTTTGCAAGCTTTTTATCTCTGGTCTGAATATCGAAGCATGTAACCTGAAGCATTATCTCCCTAATACAAGTGGCTACAACTTCAAAAAATTAGGACACTGTCAAAGGTATTGTAGGGTACAAAGAGCTAGTAAGAATGCCCATGCTTGTCTTGTGAGATGGCAGCACAACACAAGGGACATGCTTTTAGTGTTCTGCATTAGGGCCATAGTCCATGTCACAAACACACAGATGGATATTGTTTTGTTCATGCGTATAACACTTAGTGTGATTTACATACAGACATTAAATTCTTTTTAAAAATATGAAATGCTCCATTTATAGGCAGAAACTATAAAGAAGGTCGGTCAAGTTACCTTTTATTATTTTTTTTCAAAATTTCCCTTCGGTCTAAAGAAGAATCCTTGGTCCGAATTTATTTTATTTTATTTGTTTCATTAGTAGGTCAGTGCACTAAGCTTTAAGGTAGTCTCCTACTAACAAAAAATTTAAAATTCGGTCCGAGGATGTCCTCGGACTGAAGGGTGATTTTGAAAATAAAAAGATGGGTTGACTACCATTATTTGTAATTTCCATTTATGGTAATTTCCACTTATAAATGGAGCATTTCATATTTTAAAAATTTTTTAGGGTCCATACATAAATCACTCCCGATAATTAAAGGATTTGATGTAACGAGTCATTTGTTACTTCTCCTCCTGGCAAAGTTAATGGTCTTGATGGAGAAAGCCAAAAAAAACCAGGGGTTAGGGGGTTGTGGCTCTTGGTTTTTGTAACGTCGTAAGGCATTTTCGTGGTGTAAATGTAAGTGTGTTTGTCAAGTGGTTTTTAAAACCATATCAAGTCAAGGAAAGCCCAAATCAAAAAGAAGAGTGGTGTTTATTGAGATGGTGGTATTTGCAAGTGCAGTTATTTCTCTCATGCTACACATGGCTCAATTCATGCTTTTTGTGAGCCTTTTGAGCCAACGAAGTACGACCGATGTATTGTAAGCAGATTGATAGATGGACGCGGTTTCTATGCGGCCAAGCCCGCATAAGTAGAAATGCGGGTCTATTAATAATCTATTTATGAGATGGAGTTTTGGACTTAATTTTTAAGGACATGTAATCTCTAACAAGGAAACCATTACTATTAAAAAATAAGTAAATTTTAAAAATTAAAAATAATAATTCTAGTAAAAACCCATTTGAACTATTAGTTTTCATTGTTTTTAAATGAAATACCTACTTGGATCCATCTTTAAGATGAATGCTTTGCTCTTTTTGGACCGCATCTGTAGTCATGCGGTCCAGCCTCCATTGATGGTAAGAACGGGTGATAAACCTCCTTCTGAGGAGTCCATAAACTGTAGACCACTTGACACCCCTGCTAAACCATAGACCATACTATG